AGGACACTATATGATGCCTGACGAGTTGTTCTGCTGTGATGATTCAACTAGAGTGGCATCTTCGCCTCCAAGTGAAGTACTGAAAACTCTGTATGACAAGGATGCAAAAGACCTGGAGGGAGCAGCTAAACAAGTCCTTCTACCCACAAATGAGGTAAGACACATTAGAATTGTACTGACCAGAATTTAAGATTCATTACAATTTCTGCTTAGGACAATAATAGATTTAAACCCAACAACTTTTTTAATAACCTCAAGGTTGTGCTGTGGTTTACCCACCTAAAGACTGTTCAGGACAACAGAAAGAGAGGAGCAGCAAAGGCAGCCCAAACAAGGAAAAAGAAAGGATGCAACAAGAAAGGCTCATCGATGGTCTGTATATTGATTTTAAGTAAAAGTAGACAAAAACACAGTTACTCCCACAATACCGTTTTATTGCAATTCAAAATTGTCATGATTTAAATTGGGCACTGACTTGGGCGCTTCTTTCGTTTAAGGTACTCTGTGGCTACTGCAAAAAGAAGACCCAAAAGATGATAAAGCTGAAACTGTAGAATGGATCCAGTGTGATACCTGTGATAATTGGTACCACCAAGTCTGTGCATTAACCCCTCTTGATGACGACATGTTTTGGCATTGCACATTTTGTGTTGCTGTAAATACTATGTGAAACAATTCACAGGTATTTTGGGCAGTACAGAATGTGTGTGAAATTGCTAACCAAAACTGAACCATGCTAAATACCTAGAATATGCCTTCTTCATTTAGGAAAATGCACAAACTTGGTGTGGGCCATTTGCCAACAAGTACTTTTACTGTCTGCAAGAGTGCTGCCATAAACTTGTTGTGAGTGCCTATCATTTCGTTTAACTTACTATGAAGGTCTGTGGTCCCCAGGGGTGGGAATTTGACTTACAAGGGAGACCCAAGGGTGGGGAAATTGACATTTGAAAACCTGAAATGTCAAATTTCCCGTGGGTTGCCCGGCCCCCCCATCCTGGGGCAAACCATTGATAGGTGCATAAATTCTAGTTCCTCTCTAAACCACTGTCTAAAGCTCGTAAAAAGGGTAAAAAAATATTATAAAAAGAGAACCCCATTCATCCAAATTAAAGGAAAGGAAAGCACTTACCTTTTCGGCCAGTCTTTGATTATTTTAAAAATGAAAACTCTATAGAAGAAAGAATTACAAGTCGATGTAGGGGGAAAAATATCTCTTGTTCTTGTTCGCTGTTCAGCTAATACAACTTTTTCTTAGTTATGTGATTGAACGAATGAAGAGAGTTTGGCAGCCGCGTTCAGAAATTCGCGCCGAAACCGCCAAAACACGGGTTCTAGGATCCAGTCTTTCACCGTCCCGTCTGAGTGCGGCCATCTTGGTTTCTGGACGTTCGGATCGAGCTAGATCGTCGATCTTTGTGCATATTCTTTTTGTTTGACTGGTTAAATTAATGAAAAAATATGTGAGGGACAAGCATGAGAACTAAACTGAGGTCAGAATATTAAAGGAAACTGCTTCGTGCATCGCTTTGAGTTGGCAAGTGAAGTCAGTAGAACCGTTTATGATATTTTTACTTGTCGTTATACAGAAGCAGAAGCTCAATATGCCGAATGGAAGAAAAAAAAGTACTGTAAGGTGAGTACTTACGGCTGTATTTCAGTGTGGTCATTATAATTACACAACACAACTTTCCTTGCTTTCTTTGATTTCAGCTTTAATGCATGCACGAACCTTGAGCGAATGCTTCTTTATAAATTCCAAATCTGAGAGCTTTTCCTGTACAAATTTAACACACTTTCAAATCTAATAAATTCTCATCATTCTTTACCAGGTCTTCAGTTAGGGTGGACAGACCTGCTTGAATATGCTGCTTATGATAGGGTCATCCAGTGAAAGAACTTACTCTTACAGTGGGCCGGAGATTGAGCCACTTGAATTAGGGAAAACAGATAAGCATATAAATCTGGACTTTTACAGTAGCTTATAAAAAGGCTTAAGTTTTGTTTTTCTCTGACTAAGAAGCTTCCTTCGTTTAAGTTATTATTTGATTATTTGATTGTCTGGTTCTTGAAGAGTGAAAGTTATATTGAGTTTCACATATTCTATTTGCATTCACTTTGGAGTCACTATTTTGCGAAGAATAATCCGGATCGAGCCCCCTTGATAGCTGCATAATTCTCACTAAAGACAAATCGGCAATAATTGAATTATAAAACTTATACATCAATATTATGTGTGCTTCGTGGGAGGGTGGGGGTAGTTTAGGCAAGAATCTGTCTGAAATCCCTTTCCCCTGTCAGATTGACATGGTCATCCCATGAAAACAATAATAAAGGACTTAAAGCTGGGAAAACTTCAAACAGGGGGTGCCAAAAAACTGTCAAGTAGTTTCGTGACATTTGAGCAATTATAATATTGTACTTTACAGAGTTGTATTAGGCTTAAAATTTTATAAAAGTATATACAGTTTTATAAGCGCATGAACTATTTTGAATTTTGTTTTATAAAAACATACAAAGTTTTATGAAATAAAATATAATTTTATAAAAGTGTGAAGTTTGTAAAAAATATTTCATAAAATCATGTAAAAATTTACAAAATTTTATGAAATTTTATAAAATTTTATAAAACAGCTGACTAGGGTCTTGTACCCGTTTTTTAAGAATATAATACGCGAAGGTCGCGCACACTCGACAAAATTAATCATGTATTTTTGAACTGCAAATCATGACCATTCGAAACGATTCGCTTCTTATGGGGCGGTACACTTAAGGTTTACGTCCATCCCCCCCGGACTAACCCCGGGGATAAGCATTTTTTTGGGGGAGAAATGGAAAATTGTCGCTGGCAAATGCCCCGGGGTGGGGAAGAAAAAAGAAGGCAAATTACTCGCCCACGGGATGGCCGGCAAACAACACAGCAGCAGTTTTCACTCAGCATTTCAATGTCCGAATTATCATTTTAGTACGTCTGCCTCTCCTTTTAATTGTTTGTATTAAATAGCACTATCCGACGTTTAATAATAAAATACCTCATAGACAACACCACTGCATGATCAGGGGCGGCTCCGGGGGGGGGGATTGGGTGGCTAGTCAATAGAAATACATAGGTTCCAAAAACTTTGCGAAGCTGACCACCCTTACAATGTACAAAAAGAGACCAAACAATTGAATACCACCGATAGAAGGTTGGTTTGCGAGAAAATTGTGGCCCAGCACCCTAGACGAATGACGGCGTCTTCCGCGCTTTTGGCCGACTAGCAGTTTTTCCGGTTTATCAGTTTGCGTGGTACAATGCACTAGCATTAACTTTGCGCGAACTTATGTCAGTAAATTATTCTCATTTCTTCTATTTTGTGGCGTTGCAAGAGCTTGAGTTGTTGAAGGTTTCCGTTCATCCTCAGTTCCAAATTTGCAACATTTTGGGCAAACGTAGATCAATTTAAAATATATTATGATATAGTTTCCTGGCCAGATTGCTATCAGCCACCCCCCTCTAATAAATAAATCCTGGATCCGCCCAGTGCGTGGCAAAAGCCCGGGGGTATCCCGGGGGTTGGCAAATGCCCAGCCCCCGGGACACGCAAAAATCGCAAATGCCCCACCCACGGGACTTACAAGGCACGCAAATGGAGTTTGATGCATTATACCTGGATGAAATTTTAAATGTAAAGAAGGGAAAGAGGAAGAAACTCTGAATTTACAAATCCTTCCATAGAAAGTATTTTACGCAACAATTTATGATACACCCCGAGACAATATGAGCGTTATGCAATGAGCGTAAAGCAAACATTCGTTTGCTTGAAACGTGAACAAGAAATCTATATTAAACCCTTTAAGAGGTAAAAAATTTGGATTACGAGTAGCCCCTCATTTTTCCTCAGGGATAGTAGAGCGAGAGAAACGCGAGCGCGCGTGAAAATCACCCCACGCGAGAAAGGCGAGCCGCAGGGAGAGAAAAATGTTTTCTCTCTCCCATCCGTGTCTCTACTATCCCTGAGGAAAAATGAGGGGCTACTCGTAGTCCTAAAATTTTGAACACCCTCGTTTTTAGATTACTTCGACTAAAATTAAGAAATTAATATTGTTTTTAGGATAAGGGCAGCAATGAACCTGTTTGCATTGATTTGACGTGCCCGTCGCCCATGAAAGGAATTAGCGCAAGGTAGTTCTGTCAATGTTTTTCATTGTGTTACATGTTATTAAAATCCTCGGTCTCTTTTTGTAGAAGTAATATCTTTAAACTTTCTTTGAACATGGAGAATATAGGGACAAGCGACCTCGCGGGATTTGTAGAATGAAAAAATGAAAAAATTTTAATACTTGCTTGCAAGTTGTCACTTCTAGAGAAACCATTTCTTGCGAGATGTTGACAATTTAGAAGGGGAGTTATACTAACTAAGCGGTGTAAATGGAGTTTTGGTTTACAAAATATTCTCTGCGAATACGTTAGTGTATGATATATGGGATGTCAATTGCGAATTTATATTTCCAAGTCACGAAATCCATTCAGTCTCCAATCAGTCACGCAGAGTGGTAAAGGGGTTATGCGTGACGATTTGAAGGGAAAAGCGCGTGACACGTGAAACAGGAAGCAGTGAGAGCTCTGGGAACGTAACAGGATTGAAATTCGAAAGTCGTACTCCTACTCTTTCTCGTATTCGTACTCCGATCTAAACGTCCCTACTATTGTCCTCTTAAAACCGACTTAAACTGCATTTTCTTCTTTAATGTTGAGTTCTTCTATCATTCTATCTCCCCTCAGAACTTCGGATTCACCGACTGAATTACTCGAGGTATGTATGTCTTTCATAATGTAAATTACGTGAATGTCCCTTTTTTTAAAGAAAGCGGCTTCCCTTTCCTAGGTTCTTCTCTGCTATTGAAATTTGATCTAAGTCCGACTTAACTTAAATAAAAAAAATTCCGGAAAACATTCCATGCTAACGTGACATATATTTTTTCCCTTAACAGGACGAGAAATTTTTTGACATTTCTGTGGTCATAGAAGTGGAATTGCCACTGAGGAGGCCGTCGCCATTCTCCTAGATGAGGAAATTGACAGGACGCAAGTTGCTCGTGCAGTTCCTACATCCGTGTCTAAGAATACGTTATTCATTGTCGATTTAGAATCGCCTCATGTTAAGAGCTTGAGAACCCTTTTGGCCGACGACCTTGGTTCGTGGAAAGCAACTGGCACCAAGACGTCTTACTTCAGAGAGCCAACAAAATCGATTCCACTGACGAAAGTCACCGATACCTTGTTCGGCGTATACCGTTGCACCCGTTCATACTATCGCAATACGAGTGAACCAGAATTGCTGCGAGTAATAATATCTTTAAAAGGTAGGTAATTAGAGTACATTATATTATAAAATCCTCGTCAGTTCTCTACAAAATAAGGAATTTCCCAATTTCCCTAACTGTCATAATTGCCAAGAACTTGCAGCATGCAATCCATAAGCAGTGGTTGATGCAACCGCCTCACATAACCATGTTTTTTTCAAAAAATGATTAAAATTTCTGGTCTACTTTCCTCAAAAGAACCAAGTATAACTACTTAAGGTAGAATTCGTTCTCTTTAAGGTGGTGATGGAAGGCAGCACAGTATGGCCTTGCTCCAGTATGTGTTCAATGGTGCGGAGAGGGAAGTTAAGGTCAAGCCTCATGGAAACGCCAAAAACAGCAAGCCATATTATCGCACTTCGGAATTAACCAAGAACCGGCTGGAGGAACTTGCTAAAAAACATCCCCCAAAGGAAGCTTTCCATAAGAGCCTTGAAGAAAGTGGTGGAATTTTGAAGATAACATCTGCGGGTGGTCATGCACGTAATGTGAGGCAGTTGACCAACATAAAGCAAAAGAGTCAAGAAAGTGCAGAAGACGATTTAGTGGAGCTGTTGCAAATGTTGAAAGAAGATGCCAGAGATCCAGACACTGCTTTCGTGAGGAAAGTTGACAACTCTTCCGACCCTTGCGTAGTACTTGCCTCCAACCAACAACTGCTAGATGTTGAACGGTTTTGCACTAATCCAGCTAAATTTAGCGTTCTGGGTGTGGATGCCACATTCAACTTCGGGAGGTTCTACGTAACTTTGACAACATACCGTCACTTGCTGCTTTGGACCAAAGAAAACTGCCATCCGGTTAGAATTGGCCCCACATTACTCCACCACAGAAAGGAGGCGGGCAGTTACTAGGAAACTCGCGTCCACCATGGTAAAGCTTCACGCCCCCTCTCAAAACGCTCTGGTATATGGTACAGACGGGGAGAAAGCTCTTTCCGAGGGCTTTGGAAGACCTTTGCCATTCGCGTTACATCTCATGTGCGACATTCACATGAGGGACAACATCGACAGCAAATTATCGCAGCTTGGGATTTGTGCACCTGTTTCAGAAGAATATCGAACCGATATCTTCCGGAAAAACATTGGTAGTATTCGTATAGCTGGGCTTAGTGATGCCTCAAATCCTGCCGAGTTTGACGCCAAGGTGGTATCATTGAGTGAAGAGTGGAAAAGGAGACACCCACAAGGGGGACGTTTCTTGACGTACTTCAATAAGTACAAAGCAGAGCAAATAAAGAAAGCCATGACGGCCGAAGTTCGTTCTATGGCTGGTCTTGGTTTTCCACCTAGTGCGTACGACCAGAACGCTAAGGAATGCATGAATTCCGTTCTCCAAAGGGAGAAAGATAACACGGGAAAGAAGCGATTATCTCTGCCGCAATGTGCTAGACTTATACGGACGACCGTTGCCAGACAACGAACCGAAGAGCAGTTAGCACTGATTGGAATTGGCGATTTGGAGCTTGATCCTTTGTATCTAGACCTTGCCGTTGACGAGACAACCTTTTACCGCAAAACAGCGCAGCAGAAGCAGGCGGTGCTGAAGAAGTTTAATCAGCAAAAAGTCAGAGCCGAAGATATAGCATCAACCTCTGCAAATGATGAACCCCCTCCTACTGTGGGCCCCTTGTCCATATCTCCCCAGCAAAGCGCCATTATTCGCGTGCCCTACTCATTGCTGAAGGCAATGTTTAGCAAAGCGGGTTCTCTAAACTTTCGTGGCCAACAAGCCATAGTAGCAGCACCAGGAACTAATCGCAATCCCCAACGCTTTGTTGAAAATGAATCAGCACGTGCTTCCCCTTACATGGTCTCAACAAAATGTTCAAAACATGGGGAAGTCTACTACGAGTGTTCAGAAAGCTGCATTTTCTTTTGCGGCCTACAGCCTTTGCGCGCAAGTTTTAGCCGTAGCAGAGTTAGATAACAATTTAGACGACTATCTAAAGTGGTACAAGAAAGTCAAGCAGACCCCAGCCAATGTCATCGCATTAGCAGAGATGGACTTACCGTCTAGTCGGGGCACCAAGAGAAAAGCGACCCAAATACGAAAGGGGGGAAAAAACACGAACAAACAGCCAAGAACGGTGGTTGAAAACTACATCGACCACGGTGAGATGCCCTCCGCTTCCACCATCACAAGCGACGCAAC